CATGTACTTGTTCACAGTCTTCCCACTCTTGTCGGTGAGCAAGAACACAGTGAGATATTGGCTCCAGCCATCCATAATTACGAGAACCGCGACAAATCGCGACCCGTTGTTCTGTGGCAGGAACATCAAATCAGCAAACACAATCATGTTGGAAGCCGTAACTTGGCGATCCAACTTCTGCTGACGTCGCTTCTGTCTCTGCTTGCCAATATGGCAAGAATCACACGTCTTGAGCTGCCTGTTTGTGATCATCATGCCGCGCACGAGTCCACGATCCGCCATGATCATTAGATACTGAGCATTCTTGTGTCTGGTCCGGTTGTGCCACTGCTCGAGTGTGGCCACACCGTCCGCGATCGTGTAATTGACGATCACACGAGGTAAACCTGGACGTCGCGGAGCATCCGCTGGGCGCTTCGCCTCAAACACCCAAATTCCTTCGCGAGGAACAGCAAAGATCACCTGCTCCCCATTTTGACTGAATGTCGATGCTGCTTGATCGTACGAGATTTCGAACTTCTGCTTGGTAATTGCGAGATGCATCGAGAACAGTCCGTGTGACGCGCTTTCCACGTACAGTACGTCGTCCAAAAAAACCTCAGCCTCGGTGTCACCCACCTGAGTGATTATCTTCACTCGACCAATGCCGGACGCACGGGTTAGCGTCGTGGCGGCCACACAAACGACATTTGCACCAATACTTCTGGCGAATTTCTTCGAGATGAACAAAGAGAGAGCGATCACCGGTCAAGTGCACATTGGAACCTGTGTCGAAACACCACCATGACAATCCCTCTGGTAGCGACTTGGCCATTTTGTCGTTCTCACTCTTCATGTCCGGAACAGCCAGCATCGGATTGACCATCGCAATACCAGCAGCCACACCTAGATCATCTTCAGCAACTCCACGCCTGTCCGCACGGAGTTCGCCGTCGCGACTAGTGTAGTTGGAGCGCTGCTGACGCCGTTGCGTCCCAACGTTTGTCCCAGTGTTACCTCCACTGGTGGAAGCCGCACCAGGCTCAGCAACACCATCGATAATAGCCGTACAGTCAGTCTGGAAGTGATCGATCCCATTGTACCGATGACAAGTTTGTTCTTTCTGTCACGCTTCGGCTTTCGCTAACCATCACCGTGCCGATTATTCTTGCTCCCTTGTTTCCCATTTTGATGCTGATGGCGAGCACCTGTGCTGCCTCCCTGCTGCTGCCGTTGATCACTACCTGTATTAGTAGCACGATTTCTCTTGTCACGGAGTGACTAATTCATAGCCGCTTGTTCAATCAACGCCCGTAGTTCATCCAGGGTCATCTCCGCAGAACGCCCATACTTCACTGCTCCGCGCAGCTGCTCATACTCGTACAGGCCAGGAAGGCTGTCCAGCATCATCTGCCTCATGTTGATATCCTTGACGTCGTAGCCGTAGCTCTTCAATTCCGACTTGATCCTAAACATCTTGGCCAGGTGAATGCTCACATCGCCTGTTAGCGAGCG